TTTTTATTTATTTGCGAGAGAGAGAATGAGAGACAGAGAGCATGAGAGGGAAGAGGGTCAGAGGGAGAAGCAGACTCCCTGCTGAGCAGGGAGCCTGATGTGGGACTCGATCCCGGGACTCCAGGATCATGACCTGAGCCGAAGGCAGTCGCTTAACCAACTGAGCCACCCAGGCGCCCCCCTCTATGTAATTTTAAATTGTATGATCTGCTTGAGAAAAATTCGTTCAGATAGCAGAGATCTTTTAGCAATTTTCCATTCCTCTGGTACGTTAAACTATTTACTTTATACAAACAGGTATTTGATTAGTAGGACTTCCTCTCCTTGGCCCTTCTGTCACTTTTCATCTTGTTTTCAACTAAATTTGTTCTAAGCGGATCTAAGTTTTCATTCAATAACCAGTTTCAAAACATGATGATTGAGGAAATCATTCCTTTCCCTCATAAAACCTACCAAATACCCCTGTGGGTCTTGGGGCACGATGGATCCAGCACAGAGAAAGGAGATGGGGGAAAATTCTGGAGCTGGTCAGTAAAAAATGAATGTACTCCGAGAGTGGCTAAAAATGAAGTCCAAGCACATGGCAGGGAAGAATCAGGCAGCAGTCCATGCCTGTGTGTGCCAGCCCCCCCACCCCAACTGGCCATCGGGGGCAGCCTTCCTCGGCCTCGCATCTCTGAAGAAGAACCAAGTCAGGGTCAACATGCCGGCTTCGCTGCCACTGTGGCAGTTTCTCATATAAAAACGGAAGGATGAATGCGCTGAAAATTCTTGAACTGTAACAATGAACCACTCCACCTTTAAACCAGATCTGAGGTCTCCTCAGTCTACCAGCGTCATCAATTCTGGAGGTTCCCATAGCCTAAGTCAATGAAAACAAAATATGTTTTCACTGTTCAATAAATTAACAAGGCTAGTGACAAGACAGACCCTACCAGTGGCTAACTGGAATGTTTTCATTCTAAGATTCTTTGTTTTCTTAAAAATGCTACTGATGTAAAAAACCAATGACCACAAGCGGAGTCTCTGGGGGACAGCTTTTATAAAATGCCTTCCTTCAAGCTCCCTTTAGTGTCTGCTTTTTGAAAACTGTAACCAAGTTGAAAAGGTGATGTAAACCATAAATACCGTGTCATGTAAAAGGTCTGCTCTGTCCTAAAGGCAAGCTAAGCCTTTACAAATCCTGCTAAAGAGTATCACTAGGCATGTCACAGAGACAAGTATCAGATCACCAACACGTGGCTGCGGTTCCTCCCCTCCCGCAGCACAGACCGCCCAGGGCCACGGGGGCCACGGCGGCTGCTCAGAGCTCCTCGCTGCTGGCTGGCTGGCTGGCTGCCGCAGCTTCATGAGCAACAACACAATCTGCTCTGTCACAAATACCACCTTCTCCCTCTCAGCGTGGGGGTCAAATGCATAAGATAAAGAGAAGCTAACATATCCATATGAGGAGAAAGAGGGAGACACACACAACTGTACGGCAACTAGGACAAGTGCTACAACAGATGCATGTAAAGAAAGTTCCAGGAAGTGCAAGGGAAAGCGCTAACTCTGCCTGAGGAAGCGAAGGGAAGCAGCAAGTCCAAGTTTCAGGGGTGTGAGAGTGTCACAGGCTTGGGGACACTGTCCTGAGTACGAGGGGCTGGAGGAAAAGTGGAAGCCAGGCCACGAGGATGCTGAGAGGCTTCAGGCCGGTGCCCCACATACACAGAGCCACTGAGGGTTCAAGAGCAAGGCTATGACATGGTCAAATTTCTACTTCTGGTGGCAGTGCTGCGGGAGGCTGGGAAAAGAGCTGCCAGAGGCAGGGAGGCTACTTGGTGGTTACGGCTTGAGTTGAGCTGAGGGAAGAACTTACAGCCTGCTATATCTGTAACTAGAAATTGCTGTGGACAAATGGAGCATTTGTACGTCTCCTCAGAATGACCATGGATCCTCAGAAAAAAACCCAGTTTCTCTGTAAACGTTGTAAAGTCTTTTTTAGTTATGGCATTATTAAGAGAAGGCAAAGAAACTAGCGGTGTTGGTTTTCTATTCTGATGGCCGTCCGAGGCTCATCAAGTGCCGGCTTTTGCAGAAAGGGCTGCTCAGCAGAGGATGGCAGAGCCACCACCAGCCTGGGTGCAGCTGAAGCACAAGGTCTTGGGGCCTCCAGTTTGCCACACGGGCTCATAGAGTTTCAGAGTAAGACGGAAGTGTGCTCTCCTGGGAGCCAAGCTTTCAAGTCACAATGGCCTGGTTGAAGACTGACTGCCCAAGATCCTAGACTTGGCAGTGAAATTCTTTCCTTTTGAATACATCTATTGGTTCCTGATCTCTGATGCCCCTCCCGTGTTCCTCCGGCAGCCTTACTCTTTCTAGATCCTTCTTCCCAGCCTGTGTCTATAAGCTTTCATGTGTTCAATTCCAAATCACCTGGAAGGGCTCCTCAATTCCAATTTATAAAGAGCTGTGGAGAATTTTTCTTCCCTTAGAAATAAGATGCAGTAAAGTTGATATCCTTACTGAACTTGTAAGTCCTTTTTTTCTCAAAAGCTATAGGAGTTTCTTGAATTGTAATTTTATGCGATTTCTACTAAGAATAACACACACAAAAGCATAATTAGTACCTCCCTATTTTTCATACATCAAATAACATTATCTCTTACAATGAGGTAAGTGCATTAACGAGAGAATACCTATGACATTAGCATTAATATTATCATGGCCATGGTGGCTTTGTACATTTAAATTTAATATTACGTAAAATTCGCTTTTATCAGAATCTGAGAGTAGTCGAACAGTCTGATAAAATCAGAAGTCAACCATGATGTTGGCCACATGACAGACTAACACACAGAAAGGAAACCCAGCTCTGACCACAACATGCAGGTCGTTTACTGATGCTAAAACGGACGTGCTCTGTTCTCTCTCCAAGTTAAGGGCAGAGCCCTCGGCCCGACACGTCCCTGCTCACCAGCTACTCCACACCGGTCATCCGCCAGCCCAGCCCTCACGGGTCCAGTCCTGCAGATACACAGGCTCCCACGTCCCCCGGCAGAGGCAGGCTTATGCTTGTGGGGCTAGAGGCTAGGAAGCCCAGCGCACCCCCGTCCACGCTGGCCCGCTTGCTGCAAACGCGCTACACCTCATCGCTGGCCACTCTGCTCCATCCACTTCCTCGTATCACGACCAGTCCACTCTGCCCATTCTCTTCCCGTGGGGTTCACAGAGCCTTTCAGACCCAGGCTCCGTTGTGTCTCCTGACGCCTTACCTCCTTGACGTGGCTATGAAAGGACACGGACATGTCCAGCAGGATCTTGCGCTGCTCCACGCGCCGAACAAAATCTTGTATCCGGTCTTCAAGCTGATGGGCAGCCTGATAAATCTCTTCTGGGTCACATTCCCCGGTCTGAGCCAGTTGTTCTGCTGCCTCTAGTAACTTATCCGCGTTGGTATATGTGTTCTGCACAAGAGAAAATCCAGAGAAACAGGGTGAATTAAAAACAAACAAACAAACAAAACGGCTGGGCATCCTAACAGACTGCAACTGAGTCAGTTCGGGACATTCCTGATCATTTCTGTAAATTCAACAGAAAAAAAATGATGGGAAGAGATGACTTTAGGAGTTCAATATACCTGCATCAGCAGCTTTTGCCATTACTGTTCTAGACTGTTAAACCCTGAACCTTCTGGCAAAGCCCCTCCCTCTACAGCAGTGCTGGGTGTCTGTAGGCAGCTTCTGGCTGCCCCACGACTCACAGAAGGCCCTTAGCTTCTTGGGCTGCACATCCAGAAGACAGCACCTAGCACAAGTGCCCACTTCACTTTCCCCTCCAGTCTTGGGGCAGAATGCAGAGTTTCAGTCTTGTTTTTCAGTATGATGTACGATTTTGTAATTCCCCAAATGCAAGTGGAATGATTACGTTGCAAATACAAGTTGCTGTCTTCTTAACGTGTTTCTACTTATCAGTAATCCGTGCTTATCTTTTCTCTACTTAAGGGGACATATTTTTTTGAGAAAAAGGAAATGACCATAATGGCTTATATAAAGTAGCCAGGGTTTTAAAGAGCTGAAAGTTATGTGCTAACAGGTATCAAAAACACTTTGAAAATTACTCCATTTTAATTCATGATAAATGAAAGGCTGCAAATGGGTTCCACAGATACAGAGGTGTGCTAGAGACCTGACTCTGTTCGTGGAGCTGCTCGAGAGAGAGGGCCAGCCGGCAGGGGCCGGGGGCAGCCGAGACAGGTGGGAGGGCTTGGGCGCAGCGTGAGAACAGAGGGAAGGTCTTCCGGAAAGGCCCACAGAGCAGGCTGCGGTCCTTCTGAGAAACAGGTGGAGTCCTTCATCCTTCTCCAACATGTGAGTCCCAAAGTTGAGCAGGGTGGGTATCTCATCAGTGGCCCAGAGTGTGGGGCGGTGTCCCCGCAGAGAGCCTGAGCCTGGGGAAGGACGACAGCGCCCCTGCACGGGCAGCCTCCCACTGGGGAGACTGGTCACATCCAGGGACATTTATCTACTAAGCGAACAGGTTAAGGATAATGAGAGGCAGCGTCCTCACTTCAGAGAAGGGACTTACAAATACAGACAAGGAGAAAAGCTGAGTTAACCCTGTGGCACTGGGCTGGAATTGGAGGTTTGAGTGTGAATACGTGGTTTTCACAGATGTGTGAACATGCACGTTTGTACACACACACACACTCACATGTCCTATCTCGCTCTGTCCCAAGAAGGCCCAGGAGCAGCAGTGACCCAAAAGCAATAAGCATGTAGCATCCAGATTTCCACCTGTAATCACCGTTCTCCTCTACAAGGAACCAGGGCTCCTGGACAAATGGCTTACTCAGGGGGTGGGGGGACAGACTACAAGAGGAGGCTGAGACATCTTATTGTATCCAAAAGTAAGGAAATACTCAAGAACAATGTGGGTAGGTCAGGACACAAAAGGCAGCTTGAGGAGGCTCCCAATGGCCAAATCAGGGACAGTCTGAGAGTAAACAATGACAGTAACAGAGTACAATCCACGAAATACAACAGGAAACCATAAGTCCATACAGACACAAATAAATAAATAAAACTGGCTGAGGAACAGGGTATTTATAGAATTTCAAAGTAGCTCCCCACTACATACTTACTAATTACAAAGCGGGGAGGTGACTCATCTTACAATGGAGAAATGTGGCAGACACACTTAACCTAGAAATCAAACTGCATGCAGACGTAGCAGGACGAGTTAAAGTCAGGTGCCGACTGGTGGGAAGGCACAAGAAGGACGCGGCAGCCCTGATACAGTGGGCCGAGGACGTACGTATAACCGGAATCTACTCATGACCAAACGTCAGACAGACCCAGAGTGAGGAGCATGCTCCAAAATAACGGGCTTGAAATCTTCTGAAGTGTCAGGTCACCAAAGCTCAGGAACAACCAAGGAGGTGCTACAAACTCAAGGACCTCTGAGGCATGACAACTCAACGCCACAGACATTTCTGCACTGGGTCCTCTCGCCATAAAGGACATCGCGGGGCCCAGGGGCTGCAAGGTAAGCCTGCAGCAGTGTTCATTTCCTGATTCTGACAGTGGCATGGGGGGCACACAGCAGCAGAATGTCCCTTCCTGGTAGGAAATACATGCTCAAGTCAATGGCTCAAGGGAGAGTTAAGTTCTTTGTGCTGTACTTCCAACTTTCCTGCAAGTCAAAAAAACCCCAAAATTTAAAACAAGTGTAAATACGGCTTGACAGGTATGAGATGGCCTTAGGAAGGACTGTCGTGATGCGCATGAACAGAATGATGGGCACCCCAGGCATCAGCGTGGGGGCAGAAGCAGTCCATCCCGGGGCACGCCGCGAGTCGGGGTGCAGTGTCTACAGAGAATTTAAAAGTGTCCATAAAAGCCAACGAAAAGTCAGTCTATTCTTTTATCATCACCACAGGCTGCACACCCACCTCTCCCTGTGCCACAGCCACGAGCACTCACTGGGCCTTGGGTCTAATCCTCAGCACAGCCCCTTCCACAGCTAAGGAAACAGGCCTGCAGGGCAGTCACCGGGCTTGGAGGACAAGGTTGTTGGGAGGTGGGAGCAGGGCTCGGCCCGGGTCTGAGTGTGGAGAGTGTGCCTACAACACGGCAGCTAAATGCCATGTGGCATCCTGGACGGGGTCCTGGAATGGGGCAAACTCAGGAAATCTGAACAAAGGAGGGGCTTCAGTACTGTCAGTTAACTCTAACAAATGTACCATACTAACAGTAAGCATAGGGGAAGCTGGGGGCTGGGTACAGGAACTCTTTGTATCATCTTCACAATTTTTCTGTAAGTCTAAAACTAGTCTAAAAAATAAAGTTTAAAAGTATATGTGTTTATATAGTCGACCCTTGAACAACACATTTGAACTGCACAGTCCATATATACGTGGATTTTTTTTTTAAATGAATACAGTATTGCAAATATACTTTATGATTTTAACTTTTTTTTCTAGCTCACTTTATTGTAAGAATACAGTATATAATACATATAACATAAAATATGATAATTGGCTGTTTATGTGATCAGTAAGGCTTCTAGTCAACAGTAGGCTATTAGATAAGTTGTGGGGGGAGTCAAAAATTATACCCGGATTTTTGAGGTGCCTGGCGGGCTCGATTGGTAGAGCGTGCGACCCTTGATCTTAGGGTTGTAGGTTTGGGCCCCATGTTGGGTGTAGAAATCACTTAGAAATAAAACCTTAAAAAAAGTTATACATGGACTTTCTACTGCAGTGGGGGAGTGTCAGTGTCCCTAAGCCCCACGTTGTTCGAAGGTCAGCTACATGGGTGCATGTATATGCAATATACACACACATACACATAGCGGATGTTTCAGAAAAAACTTTCATCTTTGGAATAATCCTTGGGTACTTTCCACAATTATCTCAGTTAGACCTTCCCTCCTGAGGGGCTGGCTCCTGGGCCCTTCGGTGCAGCCCCTGGGCACAGAGAAAGCTCTCCTCGTGAAGCTCAGCTATCAGCATCAAGGGCTCCTGCCACTGAGGTTCTGCATACATTGCCGACCAAGGGTCTATGACCATCAGAGGCTCAGTTTCAGGTGACTTTTCTGGGGACGATGGCTTTATGGAGACCCAGGCTTCCCCCCGCGAAGCCTCACCCAGGAAGCATGCTCTGCATCTCTGGGCAGAGGCACGAAAGAAGCTAACAGAGTATCATGCTTTCTGCAGCACACACACATTCTTTTAAGAGCTAAATCCTATTTTCTTATTGTCATCACCGCCATGAAGTTGCTTACCTCTCGTGTTTGATAAGGGGATCGGCCGGTGATATTGCCTCCCAGCACTGAACACTTGTCTCTGAAAGCTTTTCTACCTCTTTGCCAGCAGGGAAGGATATTTGAGACATATGTGAGTTCGTTCCCAACAAACAAGTGCATTTTTTAATTTTCGGAGACACTACCCAGTATTTACTTTGTCCCACCTCTCATTTTACACTTGGAGAAAATGAGCCCGCACGACAGACTCCACGGCTTTCCCTGGGCCCCACGAGGGGCTGGTGGAGCCAGGGTCAGCATGCAGGGTCTCTGAGACCGAAGGCCTTCCTGTGAACAGAGCCCACCCTGGGTCCCACTGCCACAGAAGATAACAGATTTCCATGTGCTAATGAGCATACCGGTCATAAATGGTGACTCTGGAGTCCCTGGGCCTGGGCCCCGCAAAGCCCTATCACAAGAGCGCAAAGGGGAAGTGACTTGTCCAAGTCAGTCAGGAGAGCTAGGATTGTTCAAACAACAAATGGCCAGGCCAGGGTTCCTCTTGCAAGGGGAAATTCAGTACTTAAATGTCTACTTCAGGGGAGGTGCTGTCAGGAGGCTGTTTTAGAGCCTGAAGAAACCAGACTTCTGCCTTCGGCCTGCCATCCTGTCCCCAAAGGCATCTCTCTGTGGGCCCAGTTCCTCCTCTGAGAGGTGGGCCCACATTCCCTGGGAGGAGGATTAAAGGAGATACTAGAAGGGCCAGGCCCGGATGGGGGCGGAATGGTTTCCTCTTTTCTGGAGAAGAAAATTCAAATTGCAAAAGTGCTAGGACTCAGGAAACACTGCAGGGCAGATCGGGCCTTCCTTTCTCTACAGATCCTCAGCTGCTCTGGTCTGGGACCAACAGAAGATGGCCAGAGGCTACATTTAGACAGAATCCAGGGTTTTCTTGATCTTAGAAAACACAGGAGAGGAGGAGAACATAAGTATTTCAAGGAATGATTACTTCTATTCCGTTTTGTTTTGTTTAAAAAAAACAATAGACCGAAGTCTGCATATAGAAAGCTTTCAAGGTATTTTATACTAATGTAACAAAAAAGAATGATGGGTCAGTACATCTATAATCTGTATTAAAAACCCCAGTGTTGGGGGCGCCTGGGTGGCTCAGTCGGTTGAGCGGCTGCCTTCAGCTCAGGTCATGATCCTGGGGTGTTGGGAT